CACACACACACACACACACACACACACACACACACACACACACACACCCAACCATACACCCTTCCTTTTCTCCCTCCTTCCATCCCTCCAGAATGAGTAATCCTACTAGGAATCAAACTCTTGAAATCTGGATGCCTGGAAATAGGTCACAATTAGCTCCTGACCTCTCTTCTTTCCCTCCTCTTCCACCCACACTAAACCACAGACAAACAAAAAAAAAGGTTGGAAAACCAAACCCGGGCCACTAGTCATACTGGGTGTTCAGCACTTCTAGCCTCAGTTTCAAAGGGCTCTCACATTCAAAGAAGATTTGGTAGTTCCTGCCTGACTGCATCTTTTAAGGAAGGTCATCTTACAAAAACTTTTGAACTCAATTACCTCCCCATTGTCTCCAAGGATCAAAGTTTTCATGTGTTAAATTAACTATAATTCCCAGCTACTTGTTACCCAGAAGTAGAATATCCAAATTTGAATTAAAATAGTCAGACCGTCTGCCAGGCTCAGGATCAAGGATGCTAGTTATCTGACCTTCCAATTTAGAGTATTTCATAACTTCCCGAGTAAAGACACAGGAGATAGTTGTAGGGAAATGTGAAACCATGAGACAAAATATTGGTTGTGACCCAATATTATAAAGGTCAGGACTGAAATTAACAACTCTATTGGAAATTTTAAAATCATATGAAGGCCATGTTAACAGCCAGCCTCAATTCATAGCTACATTAGTGAAAGGAATATATTTTTGCATATGTTATCAAAATTAGGTATTAATTATAGATATTAAAAGGTAATAATATTACTCTAGTATCCTTAGAATCTTAGAAGAGATCTTAAAGATCATCTAATCCAACCCCTCAATTTACAGATAAGGAAGCTGAGGTTTAGTGCAGTTAAACGATTTGGCCAAGATCACAGAATTAGCTCCAGCATTAAAGTCAATGCCTTTCCTACTGCACTGCCTCTCTTTAGAGATAAACTTCTCGGCTTATTAATCTTAAAATCACAAGCAGGGTGAAAAACTCTTCATTTGTACTTAAATTCCAACTAAAAAATATACTAGTCTGAATTCAAAAGGAAGAAGTTTTCAAGATGGAACAAAATCAGGAAAATCTTCCCACTTTCTTAAACTCTCAAATTATTAGTTTCTGGTCCCCTCAGCTCCAAACCCCTCCCTTATAATGCTAAAAGAGACAACAAATGATGGCCAAAGAATGGCTACTGCCACACACTCCAAAACTCAGTCTTTAAAGGTACCCCCTAGCATTTGGAAGAAAGTGAATTGCTCAAATCTCACCTCATTTGGAAACAGCACTTGTATCACACAATTGACATACCTTTGGTAAAGCTACAATACCATTCAATATCTGGTAAGGTCGAGGAATATATTGAAGGAGACTGATTCACAGGATGGCTCTAAAACTAGCATTTTACTTTTAAATTCTGTGAAATCAGGTCTTGACAATACCTTCCAGGTTAAAAAAAAAAAGGCATTTTCTTTTCAAAACCCTCATAAAAGCAAATTAAAATGTAATTTTCTTTTTAGCCAAGTCTTTCTCCTGAAATGGTTCTCTCAATTTAATCCCTTCTCAGACCTCAACCTTTTAAGCTTTCTGTAGGAAGCCTGGGAGACAAGATTCCCAACTATAAGCATGAGAAGGAAAGAGGGTCAGCTCTTTTCAAATTTAAAAAAAAAAAATCAAGTTTTACTTATGACCAAAGGATTATGTACCTGGAGTTGGAAGAAATCTCAGACGCTATCTAGTCTAACCGTCCGCCCCCCCCCCCCCCCCCATTTTATAAGGGAGGAAGCTAAGACCCAAGTTGTGGTTAATTGACTTGCCCAAGGTCACACAAGTAAGCCACAAAGGCAGTATTTGAACTCAGGTCCTCACAGTATAGGTACATTGCTCTCCTTACCAGAAGTCTTGTCTTTTCTACTGCAATGGATGCTCTATGAAGTTGGGGAGGAGAGGGAGGGAGATGGTAAGAACAAAGGAGCCACCAGCAGACACACAGTTAATTTCTCTAGATGCCCAACTGCAGAAAGAGTCATTACATCATAGGCCTCTCCACACCTCCCTCTCAACCACGTGCCCGAAGCCCCAAGAGACCAAAAGAGAACAGGAGAGACTCCCTCTTCCCGGTTCATTTACAGGTAGAAGCCATTATCCAAGTGTGTCTCTCTTTGCTCCTCTGCCCGCCACCAAGGCGTCCTTGCTCCATCTCACTGATAAAACGTTGGAGCTCTGGCGTAGGCATTAATAGCAACGGGACGGGTTCAGAACTAAGTCCAGACAAGTGCTGGACAGGCTAGAAAAACAAAGTCAGGTTGAGGAACAGGGTCAGCCTCAGACAAATGCCCAAGTTCCTAATGGTCCAAGTCTTTCGGTCTGCACAGAAGGCTCATTAGGAGGCACGCCTCAAGCAACATGCATTGCAGATGACTATAGAAGGTAGTCGGGTAGGAGAACCCAGGCAAGGAAAGGGACTCAGGCCAGGAAAGGTTTAGGCTGGAATCCAAGATTTCTAAGTACTTCCTTCTTTTTTCCAAAGGATTTGATGCTTCCACAGGTACAGTATGCCACGGTTGCTATCTGTACCAAAACTTAAACCTAAGGGCCACAGGTTGTCTCATTAGATAAATGATGCTGTGCCAAGCTACTACACTCATATCTTCAGAGAAAGAAACACAACTCCGCAGTGCAAGGAACCCCAAATCCACCTTCTTCACCCATCCGCCTTCTTCATGATCTATGTCCCTATGTGTACCCGGACGCTCTGGGACACGGACACGGACACGGACACACACACTCACCCACTCACTATATCTCTCTCTTGCCCTGCCATGTAATCACCAAATGAAGAATGCCCCTCACAAAGTTGGCCCTCTTCCCACCTACCTGCCTCAGCGCTGTCCGAGGAATTCCTTTCCTTTCTTAAACTCCCGGGTATCCTCCCATTTACTCTTTAACTTCCCCCAACTCCGGAATTCGTCCCAGGGAGCCTTTCTCGACTCCCCCAACCAATTTTTCCTGGAGCATCACAATCCCTTTCCCTCATTCTCACCAACCCCCCTCCCTCGAGCATCCCATAGCACTGCTACACCCCATCCCCTCCCATGGTAAGCACTGCACCCCATCTCCTCCATTCTCCGCTCTTCATAAGCGTAGGGACCCCCCCCCCCATTTACAACCTCTTAAACTGCCCCCGCAACCTGCGAAGGCGCTTGGAAAAGTACCCAGGGCTTGCACTGCAGTGCATCCCTCCCGATCCCACCTGGGGTGCTAGTCCGTACGCACCTTCCAGCCAGCGGAACTGTTGCTGTCGCCCTTATCCTTGAAGTAGGGCACGCAGCGCACCATCCAATCGTAGATCTGGGACAGGGTGAGCCGCTTGTCCGGGGAGCTCTCGATGGCCCGGGTGATCAGGTCGGCGTAGGACAGGTTTCCCCACGCGTTCCTCCGGGAGGAGCATTTCCTCGGCTGCCCCGCGGCCCCGCTCGCCCCCTGTTGCTGCGGCTGCTGCGGCTGCAGCGGCGGCGGCGGAGGAGGCAGCGGCAGCGGCGCCTGCGGAGGCTGCAGTGGCGCCTGCTGCCCCCCGCTCAGCACGCCTGCCCCGGGGGGCGCGCTGGACCCCGAGTCCTGCCCTCCAGGGGCCAGGAGCCGGGCCGCCTCCTCGGGGCGCAGTCCCGGGCCAAGGACGCCGCTCGCGCCGGCCATGGCCATGGCCGTGCCGGCTCCTCCGCCGCCCCCAGGGGCTCCGCAGCCTCCGTCGTCGTCTTCCTCGTCGTCCTCCTCCTCTGGGATCATGGAGTCGGCGGCCGCTTCCCCCGAGGGCTTGGCCGGGCTCGCTTGCAGCTCGGGCCTCTGCAAGGGCCACGTACAGGAGCGGGGCCGGCTCTGGGGCTCGAACTCCGGGTCCAGCTCCACTTCCAGCGGCGAGAGCGGGGCCGGGGAGGACGGCGCCTCTGCCATCTTCGCCGCCCGGGCCCTTGGGCTGCCTTTTGCCTGCTGCTGCTCGCTCCTTCGCTCTCTCCCTCGCTCTCTAGCTCGAGCGGTGGCTCTCCTCCTTGCTCTTTCGCTGGGGCGGGGTAAAGTGGGGGAGGGAAAGAGGGGAGGGGGGGGAGAACAGGCTAAGGATCAGGATCGCTGCCTGCGGGGAGGAGGGCTGGGGGGTGGGGGAGAAAGGGAGGGAAATAGGGGAGAGAGTTGGTTATCCTGAGCTGGAATTAAGTCCTCGGCGGACCTTTACTGCCGCCGCCTCCTCTTCCCAGATCAGTACCTCGCCAAGCCAGGGGAACAGGCAGACCTGGAAACGTCCCTTCCCGTGAACCTGGTAGAGCGAGCGACTCCCAGTCCAAAGCAGCCGCCGCCTGAGGGTGCGGGGGGGGGGGTGAGGGTGGAGACAATCGGAGGATTAGGCACTGATGGGGCAACCCCCTCCCCCAGCGGCGGTCAGATAGGCAGGTCTCTCCTGGACAAGGTGGCTGGGGCGTGGAAGAAGGGAGGAAGGTAGGGCGGAGGAGGGAGGGGGAGGGGTGGGGGTAAGAGTGAGATAGGGAGGGGGGAGGGGGAAGTGAGGAGGTGGAGGAGGAGGGTACTGGGGAGGGAGGGTTGTCCCTTTAAAGCAAGGAGCAGCCAAACGCAGTTGAGTGGTGCAGCTCCGTGCCTGCTCTGCTACTGGGAGTGTGTGTTTGTTTATATTTCACTCCATGCAGATGGAGAAGTGCTTCCTTCCGTGGCAATGGAGAGAAAGTCTGTGGCGTCTTCTGATCTCTCTCGGACCCCCACCCTGCCACCAACGAGGAGGCACCACACCACAGAAATTACACTGTATCCATCAGAGAACAGCTCAGGCTTCTTTCTTGCTTCGGCAGACGAGGTTAGGGCTCTTGCATTACCACGATGACTTTTTCCCCCAGTTCCCTTTCTCTCCTCGTTTCGACCCAAAGGCAGGGGACGGGTTAATATGCATCTAAATTCATGCCAGTCCAGTCCGAGCTACTTTCAAAAACCAAAAAGAATAGAATGGAGGCTATTCGCAAGAAGCTGAACTGGGCAAGGAAGAGCCACTTTGGTGTTTTGTTTTGCAATTGTTCTTGCTGACGTCGTTTGCCTCTCAAGAAAAAAAAGGGCAAATCAAAGCAGAAATCTTCCAACAGGTCTGGAAGCTTCAAGTCTCCCCTAAGGCTGCGAGAAGATCCAGTACCAACACATTCATAACCTCCTTGCTCCTGCTGCTGCCATCTTGACAGTTTCCCCCCCTCTTCACTCAAGTCCTTTAAAAACACTAGAAAGGGAGAAAGCGGAGGGGAGGGGGGCGGATTGGGGAAAACGGTGGAGGGGGAGAGAAAGACAAAGTCAAGGGGAGGGGAAAGGGAAGAACCTGAGCTTCTTCAAAAACAGATCCGGAGTCACAGGAGAGAAAAGCAGCAACCCCGTTGCATAGTTCCTGTGTCTACCGCGGCACCTTCCCTTTAAATATGATGGGAGAGAAAGCAAAATTCTGCACGTCTCCCAAAAATACAGAAAAGAGAAAGCGAAGAATCTGCGCGGGAGAAGGATTTAGGCTTTTGCTGCTGCCGCTCCTGCAGCTTGCACGGGCAGCCTGTCACCCTCCACACTGCTGACTTCCACATTCCTTCTCCTAACAACCAGCAGCAGCAGCAACACAAAGTTATAGACACACGCAGGGAGCCTCAACCTAAGCTGACAGCAGACAGGTCCCCGCCCAGGGGGAGGGAGGACCGAGAAGGCAGGCGGCAGGGGGGGATGTGTGTGTGTGCGTGCGCGCCCACGCTGGACAAGGAAGGGGAGGAGGAAGCTCGAGGGGAACCTGGAGTTGAAAGGCTCTGTTGAGATCTTTATTAGAAGGATCGTTGCGGCAAGAGCAAGGATAGTTTAGTTCGCAAGCTATGGAGTGTCAGTCTCTCCCTCTCTCTTTCCTGCCGCACTTCCCAAGAGCCAGGAGATTAAGACCTAGTGTAAAAGTGTTTTGCTTTTGGGAAATTTCATTCAGGACTTCCGTGGAGCTGGGTACACAGGATGCAGTACAGTGGGAACCCGCAATTGAGAGCTCCCTCGTGTGCACTTTGGAGGAGATTCAGTATTCATATCCTAATGAGCCCTAGAGAAGATGAGAGATTTGATAACTGCTCTTTTTCTTAGTAAGATATTGGCTGAAGACTTCCAAGAGTGATTAGGCCTGGGGTAAATGGACTCACCGCATAAACTGCGTGACACTATGAGAAAGCGATTGCAACTCGTACCGACTGACCCTAACAGAAACCCTTTGATGTAGGGGCCCTCGCGGGCACACCCACACTTGGACATACAAAGTAAACGTCTTAACCCAAATGCTAGTTTATACACAATTGTTCATGTCGGAAACTAGTTTTACTTTTAATGGGTTTTATTTGGGGGGGGTAGGGGAGGAAAAGAAGAACAAAGTAATTAGTGCCTACAGAAAAACATTTTTGAATCAAAGGGCAGAGGCCGATAATCACAAGCGGTTGGAAAATAGTAATAATTTGACTTTTTAAGTTATTTTGGTATAGTAATCACGTATATTGGCTTTATTTCGAAACAGATTTTTCTCCTGCGAACATCTTTCACCCGTCCTTGCATTATGGACGTGAGCCTAAAACTGGAAGCCAGGTTACCTGTGCACCTCTTTATATGTGCTACATGGAAATTAAATATCAAAGATCGTCGATGTCTTAAGTCATACACATTATTTATTATTGTTATTACATAAATTCTCAGGGAAGTTCCTGGGAACACGCAAAAGGCTAGCAGCCTGGTCCTTAACATTTGCGATCAGGAATTGTCCAAAAGCGCATCCATTGGGTTTTGCCAGCCAAGCCGCGCCCCTCTGCCCCCCCTCCCGCCCCCGGCCCCACCTCCACTTCCCCAAGTGGCTAGCGCCCGAGGACTCGGAGCTTTGCAGAGGGTCAGTCACTCAAGTGACGTGCGGCCCCGCCCCTGCACAAAGCTAGTTCGACGCGTACAAACAGATGATGTCATTGTATCAATAAGCGCGTGACCGCCGCGCCGTCTACCGCGCTGCCATTCGCTGCTCGTCTTGCCCATCAAGCCATGCCGCGCTCTGACTGGCCCAGGCCCCTAGGCTCCAGTCTCCGGCCTCCCATCTCCCGCCCCTTTCCACCACTCCCCTCCCCCGCCCCGCAAATAATAAACAATCGAGTAAAATCTTAAGGAACCGTGGGATGGAGGAGGGAAAAAGAGCGCGGGAGCCAGAAACAGATTTTTTTTTCTTTCCGCGTGCGCCTCCTGCAGGGAGAGAAGTAGTAAGCAGAGCACTCCCTACGGCGCGCGATGAACCCAGGGTAGCTCTAGGACCCCGGAGGCTCGCGAGCCCAGAACTAGTGGGCGGTGTCCAAAGCCCTGGTGGCTAGCAATGGGAGGGGGGCGGTATCTCGGGGAGGGGACTGAGCGGAGCTGGGGCGGTGCTAGGGAAGTCGGCGGACACGTGCGGAGGGGAGGGTCGGGCGTGCCGGCGCATGCTCGGCTGGAGCCTCGCGTGTTACGCTGCGCGGTGGCGGCCCAAAGCCGCCGCGCGCTTATTTACCAGCGCACGTGGGTGTTATTTATAAATGGAATGTTGTGCTGGCTGCTGCGCGCAGAGGTGGGGACGCGTGGAGCAGCCTCGGGCTGGCTGGGGGAAGCGGAGGTGCTCGCGCCTGCCCCCCCCCCTCCCCCAAGCAGTGCGCGTGTCTGTCTCTCCGTCTGCCTCCCCCTCCCCCTCCCTCTGTCTCTTAATATCCTGCTTTCTCCCGATCTCTCCTCCTTCTCGGTCAATCTCTTTTCTCTTCTTTCAGTCTCTCCTTCCTCTTTTTCTCAGTCTCTCCTTCCTTTTCTCTTATTCGCTCTCTCTCCTTTCCCCAGTTTCCCTCTCCTTCTCCCTCCTTTATATCTCCTTCCTCTTCTATTCTCCTTTTTCTCCATCTCTCTCCTTCCTCTTCTCTTTCTCTCCCCCCTCCCCTCTCCCACTCCCTCCTCTCCCTCGTCCAGGTCCCCTCCCCCATCTCTCCCTCTATCCTCTGCCCCCACCCCGAAGTCTCCCCCGTAGGTGTGTGGCGTTCCCAGTGGGAGCCACAATCCTGAGTTTTGAGCAACCTCGAGGATGCCGCCTGGGCCAGTGGAGGAGAGGCGTTTTCTCTTCCTTTCCTAGCAGATCTGGAGGGGCTTCTTTCAGCCTGAGCAATGCCAGCGGAGCTGCACCCGGGTTCCGGAGTCAAGTCCAGCCCGACTTGCAAAGGAAGCCGCACCGAGCCGCTGCGGCCACGGTGTCCGTAGGCATCGGGCAAGTCCACCTCCCCATCCCGAGATCACTGTAGTGCCCTGGTTTGCGTGACTGCCCCATTATGTCATGTTTTTACATGTGGCTACCACGTGGCCATAAAGCATTGGTGACGTAAAGGAGATCTCAGTGCCCAAGTGGGTGGTCGTGATTGGAAAAGTCTTAAACTTGGGATCAGAGGATTTGAAGTTCAAAAAGATTTCACTAACTCAGACCCAATGGAGGGGTGTCTTTCTTCCTTCTACGCTCTCCCTGTACTCCTTTTTCTAAACTTTGAAAAGAGCCCTTGGGTTTCCAGGTACCCTTTGCCAGTTCCAATTTCAGTATTTTGGGAACATTTCATATTTCTTCACTACGCCTGTATTATTCATCCTAGCAATGACTAAAAGAACCTTTAAATAACAGTTTTAATAGTGCCCTATGGCTGTTGGAAAGCCCCTAGTAGATTTTTATGCCTGTTTGGTCTGACTCTTCCTGAACCTAAGGAGTTTTCTTGGCAAAAATACTAGAATGGTTTGCCACTTCCTTCCCCAGTGTGTTCCCATTTTACAGATAAAGAACTGAGGCAAATGAGTTAAATGACTTGTCCAGAGTCAAAGCTAGTAAGTGTCTGAGGCTAGATTTGAACTCAAATCTTCTTGATTCCAAGTCCCATGCTCTATCCAGTACACCACCTTATCTGCCCTCATGGCCTGCGGATAATAAGATACAAATGCCTTAGCCTGGCATTCAAGGTCTTCCATGGTTTGGGTCCAACCTCTATTTTACTCTTTTTCTGAAAGTTTACTCCTATCCTGGGGCAGTGGAAAAGGGTAGCAATCCTAGAGTCAGAGGACCTAGATTCATTTGAGGCCATCCTCTGCCACTATCTTACCAGTGTGACCTTACCAAAGTCACTTAACTTCTCTGCCTCAGTTTCCTGAGAACTCCCCAAAGTAGAGGGTTTGGATTCAATTGCCTCTAAGATTCCTTCTAGCTATTTATCTATGAAACTAAAAGCTACTCTCCCTTCTGCATTTGTGCAGACCGTTTATACTAATACCCTGGAGGCCTCCCTCCACAATCTGCCTTTTCCTTCAAGCCTCAGCTTGGGTGCCTTATGAAGCCCTTCCCTGATTCATACCTCCCTCCACAATCTGCCTTTTCCTTCAAGCCTCAGCTTGGGTGCCTTATGAAGCCCTTCCCTGATTCATACATCCTGACGTCCACGCTAAAGGAAATCTTGCCCTCAAGATTCCATTTATTTTATTTATTTTTTATCAGTTTATTTTTACCATTCATTTATTTTACATTTTGAGTTCCATATTCCCTCTCTCCAGCTGTTCCCCCACCCACTGAGAAGGCAAGCAATATGATATAAATTATACATATGAAGTTATGTAAAAAATATTTCCATATTAGCTATGTTGCAAAAAAAAAAACAAAAATAAAGTTTAAAAAGTATTCTATCTGCACTCATCTCTGTATAGCATCCTCAAGTTTCTTACAGTATTTTGGTGGACATTTTCTCTCCTTTACATTTATCACATTCTGACTTGAAGCAAAACTATTTTTGTATGGGTTTCACCTCTTCCCCTGCACTCCTAGATTGTAAACTCCTTCAGGGTAGAGACTTGATATTTTATCTTCCCCTTCTACCCCCCTCCACCAGCACCTAACACAATGCCTTGCTTATTTGTTGTTCAGTCTGGTTTGATTCTTTATAACCCCATTGGGGTTTTCAGTACGAAGTGGTCTACCATTTCTTTCTCCAGCTCATTTTACAGATGAGGAAACTGAGGCAAATGGGGTTAAGTGACTTGCCCAGGGTCACAGAGCTAGTAAGTGTCCGAGGCCAGATTTGAACTCAAGAACTCCAGGCCTGGCATTCTATCCACTTTGCCACCTAGCTGCCTTGCTTATAGTAAACACTTAAGTGTTCATTGCATTACATTGTTGTTGATTCCTTGTCTCTGCTCCCTTTCTGAATGGTGGCTCCTTAAATTTTCCTTTTAGAAGCCACTGTCATCTTGTGGGCTTGAGTTCATGAAATTCATGTAAGACTTCATGTAAGGGGACAATGGTGATGTAGCAGATGGTAGGAGCAAAAGGATGATTGAGCTGCCCTATTGCATACTGTTACAGATTGAAACATTATGTGACAGAAATTACTTAATACTCTTAATAACACACTGTCCTAGAAATCTGAAACATTTCTTTCCAAGTGTCCAGAAATCCATATTCATGGGTTTTGTGACAGAAAAGAAAGACTAAGCATCATGGGAGAAAGTTCATGGACCAAAGAGAAAGCATGTGTTTACACTTGGATATGCCTCCTTCCATTAGGTTTTTCACTAAAAAACATGTTCAGCATTCA